GGGGGCCGCCCAAGGCGCTGAGCCCGGTGCAGGAGCACGAGCAGGGGCGGCGCGGCGAGCTCGACGGGGCTGCAGCGGTGCCGCTGCTCGTGGAGCCGCCTCGTGCGCCAACCAGGCCATGAGGACGCCGGTGCGGCCAGCTGTGCAGCCGGCTGTACATCCGACTGTGCGCCCAACTGTGTGTCTGGCTGTACATCCGACTGTGCAGCCAATTGTGCATCCAGCTGTGTGTCTGACTGTCTGTGTGTCACCCCCCCTCCACCCTGTGCTGAGGTCACCGCGATGGCATTCGGGTAGCAGCAACATGATGGTGGAGACGTCGTGGCAACAGTGTCATGGTGGTGATGTCACAGCAGTGACGTCATGGCAATGATGTCATGACAACAGTGTTGTGAGGAAGATGTAGCAGCAGTGATGTCATGGTGGTGATGTCACAACAACCATATCATGGTAGCAATGTCACAGCCATCATGGTGGCAATGTCATGATAATGGTATCGCAGTAGTGATTTCACGGCAGTGACGTCAGAACAGCAACACCTCAGCGGTGATGTCACAGCAGTGACATCATGGTAGCAGTGTCGTGACCACCATGTTGTGGTAGTGATATCACAGCAGTGTCATGGCAGTGATGTCACAGCGGCATTGTCATGACAACAACATCATAGTAGCCATGTCACAGCAGTGACGTCATGACAGTGACGTCATGGCAGTGATGTCAGAAATACAGTATCACAGAGGCAACGTTACAGCGATGATGTCATGGCGATGTCACGGCACTGACATCACAGCAGCGATGTTACAATGAAAATGCCATGTCAGCAATGTCACAGCAATGATGTCATAGTGGTGGCATCATGGCGGCAATGTCACAATGACAGTATCACAGCAGCAAAGTCACAGTGATGATGTCACAGCAGACATATCACAACATCATTGTCACAGGGACTGTATTAAGGGACTTGCACTGACGTCACGTGACACGGTGATGACCGCTGCTGCTGTGACTGCAGGGAGCCATGATGAGGTCACAGCTCTGGACGATGATGTCACCACTCGCTGACGGGGGGATGATGTCACAACTGTGGTCTTACTGGGAGTGGGGGGAGTATGTGGCACTACTGACGTCACCGAGGGTGGAGTGTTGATGTCACAGCTATGATGTCATTAATGATGATGATGCCACCACTCCTGTCTTTCTCGTGAAGGGGCTGAGGTGGGGGTTGTCACATGAGGGCGGGGTGGTGACATCACAGCTATGCTGTTACTAGAGGGTGGGTGGAGGACTGGGTACAGGAGGCTGCACAGACTCCACACGGAACTCTGAGCCTCCCAGCCCTTGCTATGGTGGTCTGGGATCTTCCCAGCCTCCTCTACGGGGATCTGTGTGCCTCCCAGCCTCCTCTATTGGGGACTGGGAGCCTCCCGGCCTCCACTATGGGGGCCTCTGAGCCTCCCACCCTTCATTATGGGGGTCTGGGAGTCTCCCAGCCTGCGATATGGGGACCTGGAGCCTCTTGATCTCCTGTATGGAGGCCTCTGAGCCTCCAGGATTCCTCTAAAGGGGCCTCTGAGCCTCCCAGCCTCCTCTATGGGGGCCTCTGAGCCTCCTGGACTCTGATATGGGGTCTGGCCCCCTCTTTAGGGGATTCTGAGCCTCTCCTATGGGGGCCTGGAGACTCCCGGTCTCTGCTATGGGGGCCTCTGAGCCTCCTGGCCTCTCATATGGGGCCCTCTGATTGTCCCAGCCTCCTCTATGAGGGACTGGGAGCCTCTCGGCCTCCAATATCGGTACCGGGAGCCTCTTGACCTCCTCTACGGAGCCCTCTGAGCCTCCTGGCCTCCACTATGGGGACCTCAGAGCCTCTCCTACGGGGGGTCTCTAACCCTCCCC